AAAAATAACACAATGGAAAGCAGTGAAAAAATTATCCTTTAATTGATAGTAAATTCCAAAATCTTCATCTAACACATACTAGATCCAAATCAATTTTGGTCATTAAATGAATTATAAGCTCTCAAGTCATAACATAATATCAAGTGTAATCGGGCTACGAGTATTATCACGCATGATTTATGCCGAGGTCGTACAGCCCAATCCAAAATACTATATGCACTGCCGAGAGTCGAACGGCAAGAATCAGAGATGCATCTATTATACTGCCGAGGAGAACGGCCCACTCCCATGAGAGTAGAGAAGTTTACCTCGCTCGCGGAAGTACTTGCGACGCGAGTGGACATGGATTTTTCAAAGTTATTACGTATTTCTCAATTTTTCCCAAAAATAAGAAATCTAAATTGGAAATTTGCAACTTTAAAATCTCTAGTCTCAGCTCTATTTAAGACAATTAATATGCATAATAAACATAAAAGTAAAATTTAAGCATGATATGGATCTAAGACTACCCGGATATTTCATGAAATATAGTTACGCACGGACTCTTGTCACCTAGTGCGTACGTAGCTCCCTCCCCACACAAGTAGTACACAACAAGATACACCTAAGGGGATGAAATCCTCTTGCAAGATTAGGCAAGAGACTTACCTCGTTCTCAAGCTCACTTCCGGCCCACAAATTAACTCTAAGGCCTCAACTTGGTGCCGAACAATCCGAAACTAGCCAGATGTTATATACATTAATCAATATACACTCAAAAGTTAATAATTTATCTATTAGAATAATTACCAAACCCAAATTGGAAGATTCCTAAAATTTACCCACTGGCCCACGTGTCCGTATTCCGGAATATTTTGAAGATAATTGTTACTCATAACCTCTCAAACACAAATATATAATTTTCACCTAATTCCAAAATTATTTTCGTGGTTAAATCCTATTTTATCAAAACCTAGATTTTTCAACTAAATCCATAATTTCTACACTTTATGTGTTAAGAATTTACCCAAAATACATGTATTAAACTCATCTCATATAGAAATTACTTACCTAAAAGTGCTTGATGAAAACCCCTTTTCAAAGAGCTCCAAAATCGCCCAAGAGGTGAAAGAAATGAGCCAAAATTGTCTAAGTCTTCGACTTAAATGAACCTCACTGCCCAGCGGTTTTTCGCACCTGCGGAAGAATTTTTGCTTCTGTAGGACCGCTCTTGTGGTCGATTATCTGCATCTGCGGAACACGCACGAGCGACGCCCAGCCGCACTTGTGGGGAAATCTCGCATCTGCGAGCCCGCTTCTGCGGCTCGCCTCGTGCACCTGCGACCATGGCCAGGCTGCCTCACTCCGCACCTGCGAACCCTTTCATCGCAGAAGCGAGTCCGCTTCTGCGGACCTCGCTGACTCCCTGCCTTTCCGCTTCTACGAACGAAATGCCGCACATGCGGTACCGCTCCTGCGGCCCTTCCCACTGCAGGTGCGAACGCACCAAATGCCAGCCACCTTCAGCTCTTCTCCAAAGAGCAATCTAGCTCTGTCGACCCTCCGAATCCTATACAGGGGCCCCGAGGCCTCGACCAAATATACCAACAAGTTTGTAAACATAAAACGGACTCACTCGCACCCTTGGAATGCGTAAAACAACATCAAAACTAAGAATTGCACCCCAAAACTAATCGAATCAACTTATGAATTTCAAATTTTTTCCAACTTACTCTGAACGCGCCGAATCATACTTAGACTACTCGGAATGACACCAATTTTTGCGTGCAAGTCTTAATTCACCATACGGAACTATTCCCGAGCTCGAAATCCCAAACGGGCCTCGATAACACCAAAACCTATTCCAAACCAAATTTAAAGAACTTGAAGAACCTTCAATGTGCCAACTTTCAATATTAAGCGCTGAAACGCTCCCGGGTTATCCAAAACTCTATCCAAATATACGCCCAAGTCCAAAATCATCATACGAACCTATTGGGACCGTCAAATCCCGGTTCCAGGGTCGTTTAGTACAAGTGTTGACCCAAGTCAAAGTCAACCCTTTTAAACCAATATTAAGGAACTAAGTGTTCCAATTTCAATCCGAACCCTTCCAAACCCGAACTAATCCTCCCCGCAAGTCATAAAATAGTAAAAGCACATACAGAGAGTCTTATTTAAGGGAACGGAGATCTTAAAAGCAAAACGACCGGCCGGGTCGTTACAGTGTTTTTGTTCAAATTTCTCTTTACATGAAAAGTAGCTAAATTTCGATTACTTTTGAAACGATGGCTATTTTTCAATTACCACTTGTAAATCTGGCTATTTTGAATTTCTCCCAGTAGACGATAACTCTAAAGTCCAAAAATGTCCAGATAATTCATCAAAACTTGCATTAGGCATGAATTGTTTTCCCAAATTGTGACTGACATCACAACTTTTGGGATGCGACTCTTCCCTTACGTGAATGTAAAGTACTTTATGTACCGGCGTGTCCTTTTTTCATTAGGCATGAAACTGTTTCCCAATTTGTGATTGACTATAATGTTCTTTAAATTTTGAATGCCAAATTTTCTTTCAGCTGAAATTCACTACATTTTCCTTACGATTCCAATAAACAAGGATCCCGTTTATCTTTAATTCTTATAACTCAAAATTGAAGACTATTGGGACCCTAGTTTTCTTTTAGCTGAAAGTCTGTTGGACATTAATTAATTCCAATTAATATATTATTTGCCACATTGCTTGTTTCCTAACCCTTGAACGGCTACATTTGTTTCTCTAATATTTAGCATGCTTACATATTCTTAGACAGTACTACTTGGTCTACATATTACTAAGTTTTACAAACTAGTATCTACTACTCCTATTAATTTAGAAAACCTTTCTCTGATAAGCCCAAAAAAAAGGAAGATAATAATGGGCTTGCTGGATAATTGACATTTTAAAAGAAACGACGAAATTTATTTGAATAAACATAATTTTTATCTTCAGTTGGGAAAAGAATGTCTAACAAACATCAGAAGTTAACTCTTTTTACATGTCTATCTGCCTAGTAGAATTGGTGCCACCAATCATCTGGAACAATGTCTTCTATTCCATTCATTAGTGCTTCCAAGAAGTCACTGTTATCTGTGTTAAGATCAGCACAATATTGCTCATGAATGCCCGGGAAGGATTGACTATATGCTTCTTCTTGTCTGCAGGCTGTTGTATTTGCTTCTTCTGTCATCATGTACACTCTGTTGGTGATGGCCCTATGATTCTCCAATGTAGCTTCATATGTATCATAAGTGGTCAAAATTTGGCTATTTTTATTAAGTCCTCCCAAATAATTATCATGTTCATGTTCAGCGTTCATAATCTGATGTTGTTGATAAATTGTTGTTGACTGTGTACTGTTGTATTCAGGTTCACGCAACATAGCTTCTATTACTTGAGCAACTTCTTGTTCCTCTATAGTTACCCCATTCTTCATATTTCTCTCTGTTATAATATTCTTCTTGATTCGGCTGAGAACAATATCTTGTTTAGGAATATTGTTTTCCCTGAAGTAATCATCCCCACGTAATGTTCTCTCATCAGTCAATTAATCTTATCTTGCTTTGATTGTTTACTACTCCTAGTTCGATAAACAAAACTTTTTCTGAATCCCACCACAGTGCCCTTACCATTCTTGATAGGATCGCGATGGTTTGGCCTTTTCACGTCCCGTTGGCGCAAGTTCGACGAAATCTTTTATCTGATTCCTTCCGCTTCTTCAAAGGAGAAATAAAGTAGCCAACTTTCTCTTCAGGATGATCAGAAATCTCCCAGGGTGGCCGGTCTCCATAGATTTCCCCAAGTCGAATAGGGCATTCACTGGGTAAAGACTCACCCTTCAAGAACTTTCTCAGAAAGTAGATCAACTCTGCATCAGTTGGGTAAAATCGAATACTGGGAAGCCGTGATACCATCGACATGCCGGTCTTTGATTTGCTATTATGAATAAAGAAATTACAACAAGAATCGCAAGAAAAAATAACCCTTCAATGATCGATGATCTGCAACTGTTCTTGATTCTGCTGTGAAAATACAGAAAGAACTAAGAATTGGAGTATTGTGAAAGAAAATTTAAATTCGCAATGAAAACAGAGAGAGAAGAAAGAATGAATTACTACTACTATGGAAGAAGAACCTGAAAGAGTACAGTTCAGGTTCTTTATAAATAACTAGGTTTCTAAAATAAATTTACGCGGAAAGACTAATTTTTTAGGAAAGAACGAAGTTTAGGAAAAATAGGAAAGTATTTGATAGTTATAAAGCTGGGTATTAGGAAAGAACACAGGGTTGTTGCTTTTGGCGGGTAGTTTTCAGAGTATTCTTTTTGGGATTACACTTGGGACTCTAGTTATCTTACCTTTTTTTCATATCAGAACTTATTTATTTTAACTAACTTTATCCTATCAAATACTAGGAATTTTTAAAATTAACAATTGATTTTACAGGAAAAACTTTCATTTGCAAGTTAATTGTCTAACTCAACATTCTTTTCACAGAGAAGGAAAATCAAGTTGCTTTGTTTTTAATTTGAAGTTATTTACAGTAAAATTAAAATTTATCATTTTATTAACTGATGAGTGATGAGAAAGGAAATATAGGTTGCCACAACAATAAATGCCAAAGGTGAAAATCAGAATTTAACAATATGAATTTGTATGCTTCAAGAAACACCCTTTTCTAGGAAGTAACTTTACCCACCAGTAAAAGAGAGTTCTCCTGGGTAGAATTATAGCCTCATTTTCTCTTGTTTGTTTACCTCCTTCATTCTTCATCTCCCCTTTTCTGAGAGAAACTAATACTGTTATAGAAGTCACTGCAAGCCTCCATATAGAAAGAACAAAAAATGTTGATGCTTTTATAGTGTGCATATATAAATGCATATGTTTTATTTCTATGTTGTGTTCCATTCACCAATCAACATTGTTATTTCACATTAAGTAATATTCAGACTGTCTGACTATGGTTATTCACTACATGAAACCACGGGGTGTCACAAAAGGAGTCCTTACGATTAAAGCAAGCAATTTATTTACATTTGTGAAGTAGTTAACCACTATGTAGTAGTGAATGAATTGGTAGTAACAGTTTCTTTTGGATAACAAGAAACAGCAAAAGGTGACCTGTGAACAAGTAACTGGGCAACAAGCAGCCTAAAGACTAACTCTAACTTCGATCCAAAAACAAGAACTGATTCATCAGTGACTATGGCGTTCATCTTTGATCATCAGAAAAATCAGGCTCGTCAGGCTTAAAGAGTTTAGGCATACGTAAGCTGGATTCACCAGGGTCCACCCGTGGCACCTTGCCTCTTCTGGTGTTAGCAGCAAATCTTGATGCCAATATTGTAGCTCCAAGATGCTGACTACTGCTTTCTGTTGCATGATCCGAAGCATTGCCACCGTCATAACCAGCTTCTGGATATTCGTGACCATAATCATCCTCTTGGTCCATCCCTCGTGTGTAGTACAAGCTCTCTTCTATTGACAATTCCTCTGCTAGTTTTTTCCTCCGATAGCGTCTCCATGCAGCTTGTATGTAGCAAGCTCCCCATGTCCTCCATTGGTGTGAGTAGAACCGGAATGCATGCTGTAATTTCTTACTATGGAGACGTCTGAACTGGTTTGCAACAAACTTGAGCTTTTCAGCTTTAAGTGCAAATGCTTCAACTTCTTTAAGGCATTTCACTGTTCGAGTTGAAATTGGAAGATTAACATTCGGATTAGGCACTAAGGCCCATGTTAGCAATTCTTCTCCACAAAAATCACCCTGCTTTAGCATAATGGAGTTGAAGAAGCCTGACTTTCCTCCATTAGTTGTTGAACTCTCAAGTTCACCTCTAATTATGAAAAGCATCTCATTCACCGGATCTCCTTCCCGAACAATATACGTGTCTTTCGTGTTCAATGATGAAACAAGGCATTCGCATATTGCATCTAACAGCTGATCATCCATCTGGGAGAAGAAAGGGACCTGTAAAATCCAGCAAGCATGAGGTTACTAAATAGGAGAACCATAAGAAAATCTTGGAAGTTCAATACAGATGGTTGGTCATTTTTTTTTTTCTTTCTTAGATTAGGTCAAGACAGATGGTTGATACAACTGAAATTGGTAGAAAAGAAGATTTTTGCTATTCATTTCACAAAAGTGGAGTCTTAAAACTAGCTATGCAGATTTCGTTAACCATGTGCTACTCTATTGTTTGGGGCAAAAATGTGCGCAATAAAGAGAGCAAAGCTGCACATCCATAAACTGCATCATAGAGCAATTGCCAACGCATGCTTAACAAGAGACCCACCTCAAGAATAGAAGAGAAGCTCTCCACAGAAAGTTAAACTACGAAGTAATTTTAGCCAACAAAAAAGGATAGACCAAACTGCACGGCTCCAAATGATCGCGATGTTCCCCTTTGAGAAAGTACAAAACAATAATGAGACGGAAAAACTTACACGACGAACAAGAGCCAGGCAGAGGTGCCTCTGAATCTGGCGCCTTAGATCCAAGGGTAAGGAACGCAATATTTCTTCTTCCTCTACACCTCTTGTAGCTACCCATTTATACTGAACAAACCGACGAACACGATCTTGCAGATCTTCAGGCAGTTGACGGTGCCTCATCCACTCCTCTGTGTCCCTTCTTTTAACTCTCCATTGTTCAAGTCTTGCTGTCATGGATTGTAGATAGCTCTTCACAAAATACAACAGTAGAAGCAGTGTCACTTACAAATTCAACAAGATATTCATTCCCTCTGAAGTAGTTCCCCGTTTGCACCCCCCATCCCCACCCCAGAGCCCCCAAAAGAAAAAGACGTATTTGATGGACATAACCTGGATCCTTATTTGATGAACAAGTACACAAGTCACTAGCAATGAATTTGTCAAA